GCTGTAGCGAGCTATAGTAAACGCAAAGATCATAATTAAAAACGTAGTTACGAAATTATTACGGTATAAAATAAAGTAATATATTTACGCGGTTTCAATCCTTATTAATTACTTGGTTCTCATGATATGAAGTTTTTTTTTTATAAGTACAGTACATTACTTACGGCTAAGCAACCTTAGTCTCGTTGATCGTTAAATTTTTTATTGCTATTTCATACTGTAACGAAAATAGAATCTATTAACTATAAATTTAATTTAAAACACTATCCTAGTCTAAAAATATGAAAAAAAAAAAAAAAATACCGAGCATGAACGATCGCGAACGATCAATCATATAAAAATCAAAAAAATTTTGATCAATCACTATCTGTAATCTCAAGATTAGAAAAGTGCTTGGATCCAACGGATATCCGACCATATTTTTGAAAATCCACCAACTGATCAAATTATCCGTTCAAATCCATTGAAAAATTAAATTTCATATAAACCCAAATTTTAATTTATCGATTTAACATTACGTATTAATTGAATACTCTTAATCATCTAATTATGCGAACATTTTTAATAAGAATTTATTTTATCTTAACAAATAAAAATTAATGGGTTTCAAAATTAAAATCAGAAAATCTTATTTTATTTTTAAGTCAACATAGTAAAATACTATTTAAAAAATACTATTTAATTTTAAAATATGCAACTTATTTATAATTTGAAACCCAAATATAATTACCATATTTTCGCGTAATAACGCGCAGGTGCGCGTTATTTTGAAACGCGCATGCGCGATAATTCGAATCATTTAATAAATTTTTGGTAAATAAAAAAAATTATAACGGGCATAACCTCTAATTTGAAGGGTATGGTGCGCGTTCTTTCATGACGCGCATGAGCGTTATTGAGTCAAATTGGCAATTTTTAAAAGAGTCAAGATTTCGAAATAACGCGCATGCGCGTTATTACGCGAAAATATGGTATTTGTTTAATATTGAAAATTTATAACTAGTTTAAAATTTTTTTTTAGCTTATTGAATCAATAGTTTATCTTTTAAACTATTAGCGAAAAACATCATACCTACATAACTTATATTTCTCTTAAAAAATAATACTTATCACTTGTATGTTATTTATATATTTGATCAGATTTATCAAAAAATGACCGTTGAAAAAAGTCAGATATCCATCTGATTTTTTCACTAGATCTAAGCTCTAGATTAGAGATATAATTTTTATTCAAGGTAATTACAGAGTACTGTAATTTACTTAAATCACCTACTGCTTACAGTTTCTCGAAATTGGGTACCATCTTCTCTAATGAAATTTCTGGGTGAGTAAATAGTATCTGGTACCATTTGATTTCTTAATAATGAAGTTCTAGAGTTCTATAATAAGACCCTGGGCATAATAAGCAGTAGTTAACGATGACATGTTTTAACACGCAATTATGCACACCTAGTGATAGAATTTTTTGGAGTTTTCGGAATATTTCGGAATTTCATAATTCTTACCCGCATTAGCAGTAACTTATCATAATGCGGGCCCGCATTCCATGCGCATAAAATTTGAAAAAAAAACACAATTTCCCATCTTTATGCACACCTCATTATGGCATAATTACTTACCTGACAACGTACTGTACCTCATAAGTTACAAATATTAGATGCTGAAGCAGGTCAGCTTTGAGGTTAATTTTGCGAACATGATCTTACAGTATATAAGCAGGGTTGTAAATGGTATTACTATATTCCCTTTGTTTTAATAAATGATTTAAAAAAGTTACTACCTAAATTTCTGGGTAAGTTACCAAATTATGCGGGAGTTAAGATTAATTTTGACCAGTATTAAGTCATTATTATTAGCCTTAATGTTGACCAAAAGCACCACGTCCATATCTTAAGTTTGAATATCTAGCTCTCCAAAATCATTATTTGAATCGACTAGGTTAATTTTTTTAAAAAAAATCGACATAACTTACTAAGTCGATTTTATTGACATTATCATTATAGGTGACTAATTTACCACGTAACAGTAACTTACTATTTCAAATTTAACTATTTTCATGTGATAATATTTTAGGCAAATTATTTTTTTTATTTTTTTTACGGGGTAATTTTACCAATATTTTTAGATAACTTAAAATTTAGTATTTTTACAACACTGCATATAAGTTATAGAATGCCAAAATGAGCCAACTTTAAGTTTAATCCTAGCCAGCATTAGATTAGCGTGTAAATACGTAATTATGTAAGTTACATTAAAATTTAACTTGGGATAACATACTGTAGATTATGCACATCCCGCTCCTGATTTAGTGTATGTACCGATGGATCTCATTTTACTAACAGCCATTTCCCGACAATTAAGATTGGCCAAATTTATGGTTAGGGAAGTGCCGTTTATTACGTAATTTCTTTTTATTAGAAGACCAGGCCGCCTCCCCCTGAGTGATCTAACTAGCAGCTAGTTAATCATAATTTTTATATATAATATATTAGACGTGATAGACTGCCAACTCCCCCCACCCAAAATTACGTAATAAACGGCATTTCCTTTAGTCTTATTTAGAGTTTGAGAGCGGGTAAATAGCTGTCAATAAAACGGGTGAATCCGAAAATTACGTAATTAGAGAAAGTATCTGTATAAGAGTGACCTAGGTCGTGAGATATTTGAAATTATTTTTGTGTTAATAAATTTGCTAAAGTACGTAATGTTTTGACATTATCATCAGCATTCGGAAATTCTTTTTTATTTAATCTGTATATTCTGCTTGTATATAATAATGCATCATTAATTTCCTCCATTACTTCATAAGCAGGGGGCATTTCCATAGATTTGAATCTATGAATTGCTTAGCTAATTTTCATGCAACATTCAGGTGTGCTAGGAGTAAATTCTACCCTTAGAGCAGATTTATATCAAATTCATGATCATTGAAAGCTTCTCTAGTAGCATTCTGCTAATACAAAATCTATAGAAATGACATCTCTTGCAAATAGTTGTTCTAATAAGATTCCGAAGCAACATAGGGTATAACTCTTTAAATAACATCTTTTGAATCCTAAACTTCAAATCTAAAAACTAGAGAAGATTTTATTTATCAGCATCTTGCAATACCATCAAGTACTTATTGGTTATCGCTTAGTCGCTCAAGTTCACTAAACACTGCACGTGTTTTTTAAATTTTAGTTTACTTATTAATCATTCGCACATGTTTGCCCTTGAGTGCAACAATGACCACTACTGGCATGGATAAACGGGTCAACCGAAATGACTTGGAGTTTGAATTTTACGTAACGTAACCTTTAAAAATTTTAAAAGTAATTCTAACTTTATTTGAAATAACATTTAGCAAATTACGTAAATTTGGTCAACAGAGCATATCAGATATATTGATGTGATACATTGGGTTGTGTTACGAAAATAACATTTAACTGATAAGTAAAGTAACAGTATTATTGTATCGAATATATGATTCGCACTGTAGTTCAATCATACAATATTTAAATAATGAAAATTTATAAGGACGTATGTGTTCAAAGTTAAAAAATCTTGATTTACTGAAGCTTAAAAATACGTGAAAATAAAGTTACAAACCTAGTGATACAGGCCGATCGATCTTAATTTTGGTCGAAATTCAAATATGATAGACATTTGTGTATACACGTTTATGTTGAGACCTATTTTTAATAAAGTTAAAAAAAATTTTTAGTGGTTCATTTTTATTAATTAATTAATTAATTAATTAATTTTATTAAAATAGTATAATTAAAATTTTTCAACGTAAAGACTACAATATAAAATATTAACGAGAGTAACATTTAATTTTAACCTTGAATTGATTAAATAAAGCATGTTTAGAAATCATCTCAATTTTGGTCAGAAAGTCTCAAATATGCGATAGATTAGTATCCTACCTTATGTGCTTAATATCATTGTATGAAATAAAATAAAATATATTTGAAATTTTTGCATAATACCGATTATACGTGTAATCCAATAACGATCATCGTGTACATATAATTCACCGGAATGAAAAATTTTTTATAGTATAATTATTTATGTTGTAAGAAGCCAGTAAAATCTTTAGGATTAGGTTGCTCTCATTTTTATTATTATGTATTGTGACACAGTTACTCACGTAGCTTAATTCAAGTTACAGTTTTTGTATAACTAACTTATCAGAAAAGTGTAACAGAATGCAAACTTTACTATTTAGATTGACCGTTAGTTTATAAGATATTATTTGACTCATATTATTTGTATGCACACATAATGGCAACTATGTTCAATGATCTATTATCTGTGGCATCATATAAACTGTTATCTATAGCATTATATATATAGTATTTTGGTAGTATGTATGGTAAAAAAAAGCGTAGTAAGCCAACAATCAAACGTTACATTACGTGAAAAACATTACAAATATTTACTTAGTACGTAGTGAGTATAATACATTCATATCAAACCCTTTTTATTAAATTTTATTTTCACTGAACCAGTTTTCTTTGGGTCATATTTGTGAGCGCCAGAATTTGGCGTTATCATTATCCAAACCAGTACTATATAACACAATAAATATAGTATTAAAACTACCGATTATTAATTTACATGTAAATAAAATTATTTAGACTTGTAAACTTGTTAAACTTGTCTTGAGCATAAATTCTTATGTTTATATCTCACATACAATTAATACGCATTATAAGAACTCATTTACAATAATTAGTAAATTTGTGCCTTGCTATTGGAAGAAAATGTTGTGATTTATTGGTTTCACCACACCCTTTTCTGTTATAAAAAAAAAAAAAAAAAAAACGCCTTTTCTATATTAGAGAATCAGGATTATTTTTATGATAAAAAAAAAAAAAAAAAAAAACTGTTTAAAGACGCTTTTCTGTACTAACTTATTAGCACACCATTTCTGTAATACTTGATCTCTTATAAAGCAGACCAATTTTTTCTCTCATTTTACGATAGTAGGATTTTAAATTATTTACATTAAGATGAACACCACCATCACCTCCGCCATTAATTTATTGCGTGAACAAACCCGAATAATTGATTTGACGTATCAACAAAATATTGACCTATTAGAAAATTATTTTTCTAGTTTCAGAGGTCCCTTACCAAAAGTAAATGGGAAAAAACTATTTGGTTTAGTATTTAACCAAAGATGCGACCAAGCCGGTATAGCGATCCTGCCAAAAGAAGCTGGTGAATACGTTAAAGTTGAGCTCTGGAAAAGCTCGGGACCTGCAGAACGATACCAGTATGAACTATACGCAAAGAGCGTAAATCAAACGAACAATAACAAATACAAAATTACATATGACATTAATGGACCTCTGAACGTCGGCGAAGATGATTCAAATGGAGATGATGATTCAAATGGAAATGATGATTCAAATGGAAATGGAAATGAAAATAGTTATAATATAATTTTTGGATCAGATACCGCTATAAATTAATGGATTATTTATGATTTGAATTAAGATCAATTAAGATAACTGGCCAGGCAGTTTGGGTCAGATAATCAGGCTAGGGATAGTTAGACAACCGCAATTAAGATTGTATATCATAAGTTTATAAATAGTTTTATTAGCTCCAGTACATAATTCTTCCATTTGTAAATAGTTATGCTAATACGTTGCAAAATACGAAAAGAAATTATTGGTTGCAACACTATATGATTGTCTAAATAAAAATTCCTATGAGAAATGTAATTAACATATTACTGTAGTATTTATTTACCTTGGCTAGTTTTAAGATAAGGATTTATAATATTTGGTGCTCATCAAATGACCTTTTGTTCATAAAATATTTAGTAATAAAGATTTTAATGATAATTCATTTAAAGACACCAAAAAAAAAAAAAAAAAACCGACAAACTTAAAATTTAAACTCCGCTCATGTGCATTTATACTATTTGTGGTCTTATGTTATATAAACAAATAAATAAAATATACTTGTCGGATTCACAACTAGTTAATATAACTGGTTACCTTAACATATTAGACTATGATGTACATTTTATATGCCAGATACGGGAAATAACTGTTATCATGAGAAAAAAAAATTATAGTTTCTGTCACCTCTTTTATCATTACCAGTTTAAAATTTTTCGATTATCAGTTATGGTTCTAGATTTTTTGAGTTACGCGCATTTGCAAAAAAGTTTTTTTTTTTCTTTAGTGTTCAAATTACTGGTTTAAATGTAACACTAGATAGCGATTATCAAATGACCAAAAAACTTAATAAGATGTTGACAAGTTAATATCTAATAAAGCATTATTTCACGAAATTCTAGAATTTCATATGTTATGTCAGAAAAAAAAAAAAAACTGTTTAACAAGAAATTTAATAGCTTATGACCCTTTGTATAACATTAATTTCCAAGATCTACCTTCATTTGGACAAATTTATTGTTTGTTTTTTGCGATAAAATTTTTTGCAAGCAGAAAAGAAATTAAAAAATGTCAATTGTGGTAGTAAATTTTTAACGCCTACTTCTATCATTACTTTTTATGTAAAAGTGGCTGGGTGTTTTTTTTTACAAGGAGTGAGAATCAAATACAAGAATTTGGCGGTTATTTTTAATTTAGCTTATTATAAATTATATGCATTTGTGTGAGAACAAAATCATGTAACTTTGAATACATACATATAAATATGAGGTGTATCACATTTAGGCTTGCATTTTATTAGCATTCTGAAGTTTTGAAGTTATTTTTATCTGATAAAGCGAATGCAAATTACATAAAACGATAAAATATTTAATGGTTATATAATAATCATTGGTGCTTTACGCGCGTTTTTAATGTTACATATATTATAACAGTTAGAAAATCTGGATTTAATCCGGCACTCTGTTTGTGAGAACCATATTAAAAAGTGCGGGAATTTTAGATGCTAACCTTCTATCGCTATTCAAATTTGTCACATTATGTACGTTTAGTGATGTGCATTTCATGTTTTTTTTTAGCGTACAGTACGTGTATAGTATATAGTTGTTCTAGCGATCTGATTGGTTGACATAATTCATATATAAGTTACGAATATGTACTGTAAGTTTGTATGTATGTTGAAAAGGCAATACTGGATCCAGGCCCGATATGCTTCGGAAGAGGGTTTCACTCAAACTATAACTATAACTATATTGCCACTCTAGACCCTAATAATTGAACTTTGTTCGAGTAATTAGGGGTTGGATCAGTCCTAAACGGTCCTAAGCAAATTACCAAATGTTGAGATGATTTTTCATTGCGAGCCATTAATTAAAGTTGTTCAAAATTAATTAAGGACATACTTTCTTATTAGTAAAAAGTAAGATAATCTGAAATTTTGTATCGGTCCGGACCGTTAGATTATCTTTAGATTTTTGAATTTAGAAAGGGTATCTTACTTTTTGCTAATAAGAAAGTATGTCCTTAATTAATTTTGAACAAGTTTAATTAATGGCTCGTAATGAAAAAATCATCTAACACGATCCAACTCTAGTTTGAATTATAATATTATCGGGTAACTCAAAACTTCTACTTACAGTAATTTTGGATGACTTGGATCGCTTATGCTTTTTCATTTACATATAGAAAATAAGAAAAATAAGTACAGTATGATATGATTTTTACAATTATTTCCTATTCTACTATTTTTTTTTTTTTTTTTTTTTTTATATCTCTTAAACTGTTTCTTGTACAAATTTGCACTGAAATTTTTTATTTTTAAAATAAAATTTTAAATATTAATTTTAGCTATAAACTTTCTAAATAAAAAATATTTTTTTAAATATATTTAATAACTTTATTAAGAAAATTTTTTAAATTTATTAAAAAATTTAAAAGTAATAAAAACTTAAAATTTTTGTTTTAAACTTTTTATTATAAAATTTTTCTTTAAATTTTTTAAAAGTTTATATATTATCATCAGTGTTGGCACGGACTGGTCAATGGTCAAGCTTGATCAGACCAGTTTGACCAATTTGACCAGTTGGTCAAAGAGTTTAGTATTGGTCAAATTGGTTAAATAATATATAAAGAATATATATATATATTTATTTATTTGTATATTAGAATTATTTATTTAATAAGTTAAATCATTTAACCAATTTGACCAGACCAGTTCGACCAACAAATTTTTGGTTGACCAGTGATTTGACCAACTCTGATTATCATCTATAAAATTTTTTTATTTCTAATATAAGTTTTAATTTTTTTACAAGTAAATCATAAAAATTATAATAATAAAAGTTGTCATTCTTTATTTAAACTATAATTTCTATTAAAAAATTATAGACTTAAAATTAATATTTAAAAAGTTTGTCAAAAACTTATAAATTTTTTTAAATTTTGTATATTTTTAGCTTACAAATAACTTAAATTTTTTATTTTATAATTTAAATATAAATTTTATAAAAATATAATCTTTATTTTTAATTTTTATTAAAAAAAAAATTTAATTAAATATATTGAATTTTTAAAAAAATATAGATCAGAAGTATTTTTATAATAAAATTCAATACAAATTTGTACTAAATTTTAAACAGTTTAAGGGATAGAGAAAGACCATGCCTAGGTTTTTATTAAATAGTAATTATCAATATACAGAAGTAAGTTAACGTTTGTTACGTATTCTACAGATCATTAGCTAGAGTTCGGTCTGTACCAGAGATAGTAAATGACTTGAAATGATCAAAATGACTCAAATGACAGATGACTAGTTATTGGTCATTTCAAAGCCCAAATGACTTAGGAAGGTCATTTAAATTCTATTAACTTATAATCTAATGTCTTTTAGTTAGTCAAAATTGATTATCAGTCAAAAATTAAATTTTTATAAAATATGATTGATAAACATATCTTTTTAGTTTGTTATAAGAAAAAAATTTTACCACAAAAAAAAGTTATTTAAATTATATGAAATTTTCAAAATACATGTAATTTACTGTCTTGAACAAATTTACTTAAAACATAATATATCGATTAACAGTAAAATTTGACTTTTATATATAACTATATTTATCGATTCATGAATGACCCAAATGACCTAATGACTTGGTTATTTTAAGATTATTTTGAGGTCATTTCAGATCATTTGTAAAATTGGCAATCATTTACCATCACTGAGTCTATCCTATTGGAGTGGACTAGGGATAGCAAATAATTTAAAACATGATCTTAAAAATCTTGTTTGTATGTTTTAAAACCGATTATAAATGTTTTACAGTTGTTTTCATTATTTTTGGGACATCTGGTAACATTTGTCGATTCGATAAGTTTTTGATTTCGGCAATGATAAACTTTGATTTGAATATAACGATGATTATATATATCGATATTTTTTTGCAATTGTATTTTGAATGTTACTACAATGTCAACGCATATTTATTTTGAAGATTATTTTTCCTAACCAACATGACAAAAAACATAAAAAAGGTATCAAATATAAGACAAGCTTACATTACACGTGCAGGCGCTAATAAAAAAAGTTCAAGATGAAAAGAATTGATTACTGGTTTAAAAAAAAAGATATAACACAAGTTATTATTCTAAACAATTAAGATTTTATTAATATTTATCGAAATTGTATTAAGAATTATTTATAATCAACGAAATCAGAATAATATTTTATTTAAAAGTTTTAATATATAATGATTATTACAAAATATAAGTCAAGAATTAGATGAGAGTATTGAAACAATGTATTTGATGACTAAAGAACCTTTAGCTTGTTCATCTATGAAAACCTGTCAATTATATTTTGTATCGGATACAAACTTTAACAAATTATACTGATTGTGACCGATACAAGTATATTTGAAAGCCCGATGACAAGTTCTCCCTTGACGACACTCAAATAATACTGTCAATGCTAATTATATCATTATTGTCATTACTGCATTAGCAAAGATATATGCAAAAACTTATCGAATCGGTCAAACAATCATTCGGTCAATTTTTTTACTAGATGTCCCGAAAACAGCTGTAATACATTTTGACGTAATCATAAATACGAATTAGCCAAATGATTTTTCGGTGTATAGGGTGTGACCTCATAGTTGTGACGAATAAGCATTATTTTACATATCAAATGCTTATTCGTCACTAAAACTGGTCACACCTCAAATATCGAAATTAAGAATTGAGGGTGTGACCGATTTCGAGTGACTAATGAGCATTGTCTATGTAAAATATATAGGCAATGCTTATTCGTCACAAAATGATTGCTCACACCCTATACACCGAATCGGTCGAAAAATCATTCGGCTAATTTTTATTTCATTTTCAGACTCAGACACCAATGTTTTTAAAAAGTTTTTTTTTTCAAAATGATTTAAAACCCCAAAAAACTGTTTAAACCGTTTTTTTTACCATCCCTAGAGTGGGCTAAGTTAAGTGATATATTATTTGTACGTATACTCTATCTATTGTTCTTCGTTACTATTATAATAATATTTATTCGTTCTATTTTGTAGATCAATTCTTTTTCTAAAATCGGTAAAATAAAAGAATAAAAGAATTAGAAGCAATAAGAAGAATCGGGTATTGTACTACGTCGGACCGTAGTACCTCCGGAGTAGGGTAATTTTTCCCCTTACAATTGTTGACAATTGACAATTTTGGACAAGTTTTGGACAGTTTTGGACAATTTTTAATATGGCCAAAACCCGTCCAAAACTATCAAAATTGTTAATTAGACAGATTTAGACAAGTTTTGGACAAGATTTAGACAGTTTTAGATAAGTTTTGGATAACTTTTTTTAATAGTTTAAAAACCTGTCTAAATTAAAATTGGTAAAACCTGTCTAAAAAATAGTCTTGTACGTACGTACGTACTCGTGTGCTGGATACATAGATAACAAATATTCAAATATCGTCTGATTATAGTACTTGTACAACTTCAATTAGGGATGTGAAATGTTCGACTTGACTCCGGAAGTCGAGTCTCAATTTGCAATTACGGTTCTTATACAAGTCACTCTCATTATAGTGAACTCTTAATGTAGTGAAAATCTTGATATAGTGAAGATCTTGATATAGTGAAGATCTTGATATAGTGGAATTTTTTTAAAATTCATTGCCATTATTATTAACTCTTCGCTCGATATAATAAAGTTTATATATTATTAACTTTTCGCTCGATATAATAAAGTTTATATATATTCTCTTGATATAAGTATAAATGAAGATTTTTTTTTTTTTTCGGCCCGATCATTTCACTATAACGAGAGTGACTTGTAGTCATGTAAAATTTGTAACATAATGTCACAATAGTATTGCAGGATTAGAATAACTTTTTAAAACGTTTCTAATCTTGCAATACCATTGGTTATATATGCGATGGTTACAAATTTCACATACTATCTGAGTCGAGTTTTATCTCTACTCAGTGTATTTATTGTATACATGCGTAGTCGGACAAGACCGGACTTTTCACATCCCTAATTAAATTCTCAGAGTATTTATTACATACATGCATTTTTGATCTATCATATCTATTTTTTTTTAAAAAAAAGGACTAAACTAATATTTCTTTGATTATAAAATTTTTTACAAAAGAATTTTTTATTGGTGTCATTTATTATTTAAATATTTTTGTTCTAGAACCCACCATCCTTTGGCGTAATTACACATGTCATTATTTAGACTTATTTATTAAAATCTGATAATTTACCTAGAAAGGCTAATGTAAATGGTAATATACCTTCTTGGATATGCAGGGTCACTATCACGCTAGCAAACGATCTTGATTTAAAAGTTGGTAGCCGTTACAAGAGCCAATTATATGATTATAGGTACACGTATGACATAACTAATTTATTCCAAATTTAGAAATAGGCTAAGGCTAACATATGAAATCTATGTTACTGCAGTTGTAGTTTTTTTTTTTTTAATACGTATACATGCGTATCTTAGATATATAACTTTTACCTTATATGGCTTTGGTTACCTCTATAATCAGATATTTATATATTGAATCTATTATCTTTACGGATATAGTTGTAAAAAAAAAAAAAAAAACTTTAAATGATTATAATAATAGATTTATTTTTTGTTAAAATGAAAATTCTATCTATGAAAAAAATAAATCGAACGTTTTCTTATAATAAAATGTTTGGATTAAGTAAATTATACGGAATAAAATTTGAAAATTCACCAAATTTATTAAGCATATATTTAAAAAAAATAAACTATAATAATTTAAGAGTCTTAGCATAAGAATAGTGTTAATAAACCAAAATAGTAACCTACATCCAATTTTAGAAAACAAGTATCTAGACAATTTAGATTAATTAAAAAGCTTATGTCATTAAAATATATTTTAATTCAGCCGTATAAAAAAGATTTTCGACTTATGTTAATGTGTTACCAAACAGAAGTTTATCTAACCCTTGAATTTGATTAATTTAATTAGACAAATATCGATAGGATCTACCATTAGAGTTATTGTGAGAAAAGACACACAGGATCAAGTCTAGATAAAAACACAACCTTACCTAAGTTGATACAGTACATACATATGCTTGTAGATAGTATATATATATAAATAAATTTAGCATTTATAGTTATTAATTCTAGAATATTAATACATACTTCCAATTTAATCATATATGTAATCGTATAACAAATAATTGTTATAAAAAGGTAAATGGGCTTATATCTCATTGATAAACCTTACACTAACATAAGAATCAAGGGGAAAATTTTATGTTTGAACTAACATAATTATCAATATTGATAAATACAAACGTAACGTGACTAAATATGCGGGGAACGACACCGTGACCTGGATATAAACAAATCCGGATATGTACAAATTTTTTAAAAAAAAATTATATGCTAATAGGAAACCAAGATCTTAATTATTGGATCGGGCGTCCATTTTCATGTATTAAGGGGGGGGGATTTATATAAAATTTATGTTATTAACTACACAATTTAAAAGAATATTCAGTGAGTTGACTGTTTCTTTTCAAATAATATAATATATATTTATGTGTATCAAAGTTTTTCGCGTGTTATTTCCGCCGTCACACGGACGATTTCGGAGAGTTGAAGTCAGAAATATAGTCCTAAAATTATAATTCTGCGCCGGATAATTTTTTAGTTCTTACCGAAAAACTTTGCAGTCTTGTGGTATACACCAAAAAGGCATAATATCCATTCATATAGACTGAATTTAGAAACTATGCTGAAGTTTGTTGACGCGCTTTTGCTGCTGATTTATTTGATCAGGCGTACTAGCATATAAGTATCATTCTATCAGAGTTAGGCCGTTTTGGTAGAAAACTTCTAGCCAAATTTAGTTACAATTTGCTAATATAAATTCGAAGAATCGTTTATTAAGAGAAATTAAAAAAAATTTTTAACGAAAACTATTTTTATAGTGAAATAGCTTGGGTCATAAAGTTTTAATGTAATATATATATATATTACAATAACGTTTGATATATTTTTAAAACAATAGCATTATTACGAGGTCCATACAATTATTTCGTTCTCCTACGCCCAAAAAGTATAAGGACACAATACATATTTAGTAATCAGTATAACTTATAACTCATATGTGTGCAGTCTTTGTACTCCTGCTCGGATTTTGAGTCCGAGGATCCATATAAAAAAAATTCTTACTCATAAAAAAAGCCGCCACGATAATTAAAATAAAAATTTATCGTTAAATTAATAATCATTTTATAAGTGAAATTGTTAAATATAAACTCTTTATCTTGAAAATAATTAGTCACAAAGTAAAAATTTAGAATGGCTTTACAAACATCAAATTTGAACGAGTTGGCAAACAATCTGATCAATAGTTTGGACAGAAATAAAATTTTCCCTCCAGCTCATAATAATCCACAAGAATTAATAAATATAACATCCCCGAATACACGTACAAAAAGACCACCAAACGGTTTTTTATTATGTCGTAAGAATGTTCATAAAGAAGCTAGACTGAAAGGAATTTGTAATATGCGTGTAATATCAAAAGTTACTGGAATGTTATGGAGAGATGCTTCATCAGAAGAGAAGGTATTGCTTTAAATGATGATTTAATATCATGATTTAATATCAATATGTATACACTTATATATTTTTCTTCAATCTTTTTCTCAAGGAATTTTATGAACAATTGGCGATTGATGTCCAAAATTTACACTCTCAGATACATCCAGGATATAAATACAGACCAACATCACGTTCAAAGGCTGTGCCTTTATATCATCCATACATTGATACAACTTCAATCCCTTTTCCCACCCAGGTGGTGACTCCACAAGTCAATTATCATTATCAAACATCGGAATTGTTATCACAACCTCTGCCAGAATTTGATCCGATACAATTTTTTAATCAGCCTCCATGCAATAGTGTAATGGATTTTAATGAACTTAATTCATTATATAACCAATGGCAACATTAGTTTTATATAATTTTATGCTTTTTTTATACGCGCGAGTGTTACATATATTGATATGTGTAGCTCAAAAGATCGTTTAGCTAATAGTTAATCCAAGTGAACCAATATTTTTACTTTGGTCTAATGTATATTTTTTTATTTACAATATGCTAAGACTATTATGAAGATTACTATGATTATAAGGACTAATTTTTTTTTTTTTTTTTGAGACTTTCTTGTTTTTAATTAATATGTTCAATATTTTGTGTTTGTCTGCTTTAGTTCGTTTGATTTTTTTAGTCCTCTTTATTTAGGTCCAAATTGTAAACATTCTACAGAGTAAAATAAAAAAAATTCTTTCTTTAATAATTGAGAAACCAAAAAAAAAACAGTACAAATTG